TTTTAGTTTTTGGGGGTTTTTTTTTGGGGGGGGGTTTTTATTTTTGGGGGGGGAAGGGGGGTTTTGGAAAATTGTTCAGGGGTTAGGGGAGGGGTTAGGGGGTTTTGGGGACGTAGGGTGGTGGGGGGGGGGGGGAAAGGGGGAGGGTGTTATTTTTTGGGGTAATTTTTGGGGTGGGGGTTGGGGTTTGGGGGGGGGGTTTGGGGGTTTGGGGGAGGGGGAATGGATTGGGGGGTGGGGGTTGTTGGGGGGTTGCGGTTTGGGGGGGTTGGTGGTTTGGGGGGTGGGTTGGTGGTTGGTGGGTGGTTGGGGGAAGGGGTGGTGTTTTTGGGGTTGGTTGTGTTTGGGTTGTGGGTGGTGGGTTTTGTGTGGGGGTTTTGTTGTGTGTGGGGGTTTGGTGGGGTGGGGTTGTGTGTGTGTGGATGGGATGTGTGTGTGTGGTGTTTTGGTGTGTGTGGTGGTGGTGTGATGTGTGGGTGTTGTGTGGTGTGTGTGGTGTTGTGTGGGGGTGTGTGGGGTGTGGTGTGTTGTGGGGTGTGGGTTGGTGTGTGGGGTGGTTGTTTGTGTTTTGGGGTGTTTTGTGGGTGTGTGTGTGGGGTGTTGTTTTGATGGGGGTGTGTGTTGTGTGTGTGTTGTGTGTGTGTGTGTATTTTGGGGTTGTTGTGGTGTTTTGGTTGTGTAGTGTGTGTGTGTGTGTTTGTGTTTTGTGTGGGGTGGGTGTGTGTGTGTGTGATGTGTGTGGTGTGTGTGTGTGTGTGTTTTGTGTGTGTGGGGTTGTGTGTTGTGTGTTTTTGGGGGTGTGTGGTGTGTTTGGTTGTGTGTGTGTGTTTTTTGTGTGTGTGTGGGGTTGTGGGGTTTTGTTTTTTGGTTTTTATGTGTGTGTGTGTGTGTGTGGGGGTGTTTGTGGGGGTTGTGGTGTTGTGGGGGTGGGGTTTTGGGGTGTTGTGTGTGGGGGTGTGTGGGGTGTGTGTTTTGTGGGTGTTTTGGGGGTGGGGTGTATGTGTTGTGTGTGTGTTTGGTGTTGTGTGGGGTTTTGTGGGGGTGTTTTGGGGGGTGTGTGTGGGGTGTGGGGGTATGTGTGTGTAAGTGTTTTTGTGTGTGTTGTGGGGTTGTGTTTTTTGGTGTGTGTGGTATGTGTTGTTGTGTGTGTGTGTGTGTGTGTGTGTGTGGGGTTTTTGTGGTGTGTGTGTATGTTTTTGTGTGTTGTTGTGTGTGTGTGTGTTGTGTGTGTGTGTGTGTGTTTTGTGTGTGGTGTTTTGGGGTGTGTTTTGGGTGTGTGGGGTTTTGTTGTGTGTGGTTGTGTTTTGTGTGTGTGTATGTTTTGTGGTGTGTGTTGTGTGTGTGTGTGTGTGTGTTGTGTGTGTGTTGGTGTTGGTGTGTGTTGTGTGGTGGGTGTTTTGTGTGTGGTGTGTTTTGTGTGTGTGTGTGTGTGTGGTGGGTGTTGTGTGTGAATGTGTGGGGTTGTGTTTTAAATTGTGTTGAGTGTGTGTGTTTGTGTTTTTGTTGTTGTGTGTGTGTGGTGTGTGTGTTGGTGTGTGTGTGAAATGTGTGTGTGTGGTGTGTGTGTGTTTGTGTTTTAATGTGTGTGTGTGTGTTTTGTGTGTGTGGGGTGGTGTGTGGTTTTATTGTGTGTGTGTGTGTGTGTGTGTTTTGGTGGGGGTGTGTGTGTGTGTGTTGGGGTGTGTTTATGTGTTGTGTGTGTGGGGGGTGTTGTGTGTTGGTGTGTGTGTGTGTTGTGTGTGGGTGTGTGTTGTGGTTGTGTGTTGTGGTTGTGTGTGTGTGTGGGGTTTTGGTGTGTGTGTGTGTATGTGTGTGTGGGTTTTGGTGTGTGTTGTGTGTTGTGTGTGTTGTGTGTGTTGTGGTTTTGGGGTTTTGGTGTGTGTGGGTATTTGTGGGGTGTGGGGTTGTGTGTGGGGTATTGTGTTGTGGGGTGTGAATGTGTTGGGTGTGTGTTGTGTGTTTTGGTGTGTGTTTTGTTGTGTGTGTGTGTTTTTTATGTGTGGGTGTGGTGTGTGTGTTTTTGTGTGTGTGTGTGTTTTGTGTGTGTGTGTGTGTGGTGTTGTGTGTGTTGTGTGTGGGGTGTGTGTGTGGTTTGGGGTGGTGTGTGTGTGTATGTTGTGTGTGTGTTTTTGTTTGTGTGTGTGGGGTGTATTTGTGTGTGTTGTGTTTTGGTGTGTGTGTGTTTTTGTGTGGTTTGTGTGTTTTGTGTGGTGTGTGTTTTGTGTGTGGTGTTGTGTTGTGTGTGTGTGTGTGTGTGTGTGTTGTGTGTTGTGTGTTTTGGTGTGTTTGTGTTGTGTGTAATGTGGGGTTGTTGTGTTGTGTTTTTGTGTGTGTGTGTGTTGTGTGTGTTGTGGTAGGTTGGGAGTTTTGTGTGAAGTTTGTTATTGGGAAATGTTTGGTGGGGTGCCTGTTGGGGAAGTGTGTGTGTGGATGTGTGTGAGGTTTGGGTTTTTTGTTGTGTGTGGGTGGTAGGGGTTTTGGTATTTGGTGTTTTGGGGGTTTGGTTTGGGGGCGGGGAGTGTGGGGTTAGTGTGTTTGTGTGTGGTGTGTGTGTGTTTTGTGTTTGTGGTGTGTGTTGTTTTTTGGTGGTGTGTTGGGGTTTGTTGGTAGGTGTTTTTGTGTGGTGTGTGTGGTTTGTGTGGTGGTGGGGGGGGTTAGTTTTTTGTGTTTTTTTGGGTCGGGTGTTTATGTGGGGGTGGTGTGTGTGTGGTGTTTGATGGGGTTTTGTGTGTGGGGTGTGTGTGGAGTGTGGTTTGTTGTTGATGTTTGTGTGGTTTGTGTGTGGTTTGTGTGTGGGTGTGTGTGAGGTGTTGTGGTGTTGTGTGTGTGTGTGTGTGGTTGTGTGTGTGTGTTTTGGTTGTGTGTGTTGTTGTGTGGTAGTGTGGGGTGTTTGGTGTTGTTGAGTGTGTGTGTTGTTTGGTGTGTGTGTGTTGTTGTGTGTTGTTTGTGGTGTGTGTGTGTGGGGGTGTGTGTGTTGTGTGTGTATGTGTGGTGGTGTTTGGTGTTGTGTTTTGTTTTTTGTGTGTGGGTGTGTGGTGGTGTTGTTTTGTTGTGTTGTGGTGTGTGTGTGTGTGTTGTGTGTGAGTGTGGTTGGTGGGGGGGTTGTTTGTGGTGTGTAGGTGTTGTGTTGTGTTGTGTTGTGTGGGTTGTGTGTGGTGGTGTTTTGTGTTGTGAGTGGGTGTGTGTGGTGTTGTTTTTTGTATGTGTGTGTGTTGTTAAGTGTGGTGTGGTGTGTGGGGTTATTTCCCCTTTTTGTCATAGGCACATGTCGTTTAGACACTGGGCCTTTTTGTTGTTTTTTTCCCGTGGGGTTGTGGTTTTGAGTGTGTGTGTATGTACTCAACTTTTTGGGTATTCACCTTTTTTGGGGGTTGCGGGGGGTCAGTCATAGCTCCTGGCCCCGCCCCCTTTCCCACTGTTTGCTACGGGGTCCTCTCCCCCCCCCTGCTCCATGACTTTATCTTTTCCCGCCAAAAACTATGAACCCCCCTATTTTGTGGTTCAGGGGTCGAGTCAAAGCTCCTGGCCCCGCCTTTTGCTGATTCCCTATGGGGGTCCTCTCTCTCCCTGCCCCCATGAGCTCTAATCAACCTCCCCTTTTAAAACTATGAAAGGTTCCGCCCCTCCCCCCAAATAATTTTCTGGCTTTTCCCAGGGCCCCTGATTTACCTATGATAAGAAATTTTTTCCTAACACCCCTTTGTTTTCTTTCTGAGTCTTCAATTTCCCAAATTTTTGGCTCTTTTTTTCCTTTGTTCCCCTCCCGGAAAACATCCTTTCTTTGCCCAACCCTTGTCTTTTTCCACGCAGTATTTTATTTGTGTTTATCATGTCCCCCCGACCCTCCTGCCCTCCAGTTCGTCAGGCCAATTTTCCCTTAATTTTTCTTCATAGGACTTTTCCCCTTAGCTCTGGAAACTAACCTTGTGGCAAACCTTTGTACTTTTTCTAGTTTCCCTTTAGTTTCTTTAAACAAAATGCGGGGGTTCCAAACATGCTGAAAACTCCGTATGGGGCCCGACATACCGGTTTTACATTTTCCCTTTAAAAGATTCCTTTACTAAGGGTTCGGAAAGCTTTCTCAGGGGCCCGGCGCCCCAAAAGTGCAGCAGTTATCTGATTGATGTTTTGGGTTCCGGGACATGTTTTGGGGTTATTTCTCACCCCAAGAAACTTTTTCTTTCCCTTTAAATGAGGTTTGGCAGTTCTTTGGCCAAAATAGCCTATTCTCTGTCCCGTGGTCTTCTTTGCCCTTCCCCTACTTTTATGAAAAATTTTCAATTTTGGGAGGTTAAAAATTTGAGAAGCCAAATTTTTGGGGCCAGGGCCCTTTGTCCAGGTCTCTTTGAAGTCCTGCCTGGGCCTCATCAATTTAAATTTTCCCCCCTTAACTTCACATCATCTGCAAACAGGGACACTTTGATCAAAACCCCTTTCCCTCATTTTCGTTTACTGTTACCAAAATGTGTGTGTTGTTGTGGTTATTGTGGTGTGTGTGTTTTTGTGTGTGTGTGTATGGTGTGTGTGTGTGGTGTGTGTGTGTTTGGGGTGTGAGTGTGTGTGTGTGGTGGTTGTGGTGTGTGTGTTTATTGTGCCGAAAAGGTTTTAAAAATTGGGCAATTACGAAAATTTGTTTTAAAAAAAAAAAAATTTGGTCCTTTCTAAAATTTTTCCCTTTTACTTTTTAAAAAAAACATATTTTTTTATTTTTGTTAATGTTAAAAAAAAAATAATTTTGTACAAAAAGAACCTTAGAAAACTTTTCCTAACCTTATTATAACAAGCGCAATTTAATTTAAACCCTTTAAACCAACTAAATTTTTTTTTTGGTTTAAATTTTCAGTAATTTAATAATAAACAAACAAATGAAATAATAATTTTTTTTTGTTAGGTTCCCGAATGATTTTTGCGAAATTATTACACCGGGACGAATTTTCGCTTGTCTTATTCCCGGGAAAAATCCTTTAAGTAATAAATGTTTCCCGCCGTTTTCCCTTTAGGTTTTGGTCACATGTCGCCCCCCGACGTCTGGGGTCCTCTCTTTGCATTCTTTCTACGCCTTCATTGGGTTTTCCCTTAACGGGAACCCGGTAGCCTCTCTCCCCCCGACCTTTTTTCCCCCTCCAAGGGGGGTTTAAAATCGGTCACCAGTCAGGTCACCCGTCAAGTCCCTGTTACAAAAAAACGCGATTTTTTAATAACATTTTAAGATCTCCTTTAATACTAAAAGGAATTTCCCTTCTAGCTCCAGGGCCCGTTACTGGGTTTTTTTAACAATTTGTCCCGTATTTTGGTTTAAAAATTTTTCCAAATTTGAATTTAATAAGATTCCAAAAAGTGCCTTTTAGGGGTTAAAAAACTGGTAGGCTTTCTAACTAAAGAAATTAAAAATTTTAAAAAGGGTTTTTTAATAAAAAAAATTTTCTAGGGGTAAAATTAAACAAAATTTAAAATTTAAAATTTAAACAATATAAAAAAAATAATAATAAACACCCTTTTCCATGTACAGTAGTATTGTGTTGGGGAAAGGAAAAATATCACAAACCCTTATGGGTTTTAAGTACCGTCTTGTACATTGTTAGCATTTAATAAACATAATACAAATATATACAAGTAAGTTTGTGTGTATGTAAGTGCTCTAAGTAGTTTGCTATGTCTCAAGAATCGATTAGACTTAACCAGTGACCAACTAAAAGTCCTCACATAAACTAACTTCTTGACCAACCTGGCAATCAGAACAGCTTGCTTGAACAATAAAGCGACTGTTAAGCCAAACAGCAATATAACAAACAACAGCGACACAGAATCAGGAACAAGGAGACAATATAATGACACTAAGTAGGGACCATCTGCAGATCCTCCACAAAAGTCACAAAACTCCCATACTACTGAATCTAAGTTCAGCATAAGAAAATCCCCGACCGTGACAGTGCACAGATACCAGTACAAATTAGGTCAGAAGCTACAGCTCAAGACCTGAGTTTCTCAAAGTGTCTATGTGACACACAACCTCAGTACAACGTCGAAAATCACTAAGTCTAGGCTATGTCCTGTGAACAGAGTTATGCAGAACCAACAACAAGAAAGCGACAGAGACGATCTTCCAACAAGGGCCAGCAAGGGAGAGCTAGGCACGTCTTGTTCAAAGAACATCCAACAGCCAAGAGAGTGAGCAGCCCAGACAGACTACTCCAGGCAAGGTGTGATCACCCCCCAATCACGTGATAGCTCCATGCTGCTGCTGCCCAGCAACACCGAAAAGCCAGCAGGGAAATGAGCAATGAGCGGGGCAATAATTACAGTAGTTAGACAATCAAGACTTGAACTATGAGCACTGAATAATACATATAAATGATACATCCTACCTAATAATATATTCGCTGCCTGACCATGGTAGAGTGCGGTTGTGCTTTGCACCCCTCTGCTGTTTTCAGGCGAGCTACCTTGTACCAACATGGTGCTGAGTGTGAGGAGGCACGTAAATACCATCAGTATAGAGCTGCTTCATGGGGTAATTTCACCCTCTTCAGCGCAGGTGTTACTCCCGACTATCATTAGGGAGATGTATGGTATCCAGGATGATGAGGTGTATGATGTTGCCCTGAATGGGGCATACAGAATCTTCGTCAAACTGAATTCCACGTCTGTGTACGAGTCTTTGGTGATGAGATTCCAAGACGTGAGTCTTGACACTACTCCAGCTGTGAAGGTACATTTGATCGACGTATCTCGCCACTTTACGTGGGTTAAGATTCGTAACGTCCCCATTCGAGGCAGATGAGGCTGACATCAGGAGTGTTTTCGAGGCATATAGGACCATACATCTGGCACAACAGGGCAAGTGGATGGCTGGTGCTTACATGGGCCGTCTGGAGGGAACCTTTTCACTGAAGATGACTCTGCGACATCCCATACCATCTTACGTCGTGTTGGAGGACTTCAGGACACAAGTTATGGTATCATACGCCGGACAGAGATGTACATGCAGGTTATGTGGGGTGTACAACGGTAGCGTGTGTGAAGCTGAGGAGGGGGCCTGCACAAACTGGTGAGGCACCAGTTACCAGTGTGGTAGCTGTTGTTGAGAGCCCCATGTGAAAGCATGGGCTTGGGTGCTTGTGGAGTGAAGTGGTAGAGGATCCCATAGAGGGGACTGGCATGTGAGAGGCAAGCTGTTACATAACAGGAGCTGTTACTGGGCAGGAGAAAAGTGCAGAATTGCAAGTGCAGGAGGAGGTACAGGCTCTTGAGGAAGAGCTTCAGGAAGTGTTGAGGACATTGATGCCGCCTGCTGAGGATGTTGTTCCTGAGCTGGTGAGAGGCATGGCATTGCCTGTGGAGGAATGTGTTGATAAAAACCATAGCAGAGATGACGGGCCAAGCAGTTAGCATGAGATGTTGCTGTGTGCCGTGGAACGGGGCTTGGTGGAGGTTGAGGTTCATTGTGAGGGAACCTCAGAAGACAACATGGAAGTGGAGGGCATCACGAGGAAGAGAGCGCCGGCGTCAGACTCAGATGATGTCCTGGTAGTCAGGATAAGAGGCATCGCAAGAAAGGGGGGGGTTGATGGTGTGAAGCTCTGTGCTGGCTCTGGGGCAGGAGGCCCTGGGATGAATGAAGAGAGGAGGAAGGGTTGGAAACTATAAAGAGGCCTTAGGTGTATGACTGTGAACGTAAATGGACTATGTAATAGTGCGAAGAGGGAATGGTTTCGAATGTTTCTGTGTAAATATAGGGTGGATGTAGTGTTCCTGCAAGAACACAATTTCAAGGAGGGGAGAGAGCTGGAGGTGGCGGGGTTTGAGGTCATGACTTTGCCATCTGCACGTCTGAAAGGTGGTGTGGGTGTATTGATCAGGGAGGCGAGCCCGTTTGTGTTGATAAGAAGTGAGGGGGGGAGGGGGAGGGTGTTGCATGTGGATGGGTGGTGGATGGGGCAGAGGGTAACCTTTGTAAGTGTGTATGCACCAGCTGAGAACGATGTGAAAGTAAAGCAGGAATTTGTATGTGATGGCCTGGTTTTCTTCTAACATGGTTTACCTGCAGTGGCCATCGTTGGTGGGGACTGGAACTGTGTTATCAGGAGGGCTGATGTGGAACCAAAAGGGGCGGGGCAACATGTCGACGGCCTTACGAGACCTCTTGAGGGATATTCAGTTGAGGGATGCAGTTGGAGGGGGAGTGTGGGAGGTAGAGCACACTTTCGTGATGAGGGTTATGCGGCTAGGTTAGATAGGTTGTACATTTCTCAAGGGGTCTTGGTAAAGTTTTTCTGCACAATAGAGGTAGCTTATTTGGATCATAGGGCGGTCGTGGCAGAGGTGGGATGTGAGTCACTGGCGGGTATCTCTAGGGGTTATTGGAAGTTAAATGCGAGTGTGTTAGGAGATGAGGAGGGGTTGGAGGAATTTACAACACTGTGGGAGGAGTTAAGTGTGGAGGTACATGAGGTGGAGGATGTGGTAACATGGTGGGATGGTGTGGCTAAAGAACAAATTAGGCAATATTACGTGAGAGAAGGGAAACGAATTAATTCTTTAAAATATGGGCTGGCCAACTATTTGGAGGACAGGTTACGCGGTTGTCATGCAAGAGGGGCAGTGGTGGGTATTTATCCTATGGATGACATACTGGCACTTAAGGGAAGGCTGCACGAGCTACAAGATGAGAGGTTCCAAGTGGTGAGGGTAATGGCAGGCGTGGAAGAGGTGTTATGGGGCGATAGGCCTTCATCGTGTGTATTGCATAGGCAAAAGCAACGGCAGCAGGCAACAGCTATTCCATGGTTGGAGGTTCATGAGTCGGTAGGTGGGTATAGGGTGGGTCAGGTTATACACACCACAGATGGAATGGGAGTGTTTGCGGACGAGTGGTATGGAAAGTATTGGCAAAGGGATGGGGTAGGAGCTGGGGTTTTAAAACAGGTGTATGAGAATGTGATATGTCTGTTGGGAAACAGTGATAGGGAAGCATTGGGAGGGGAAATAACTGAGGGTGAAACATGGAAGGCTTTAAGTGAAATGCATAAGGGTAAAGCTCCGGGAATCGATGGACTCCCGACAGAGTTTTATCTACAGCATTGGGAGCTAATGAGGGGTTTTTTGGTTAGGTTATTTAATATAATGAAGGAGAGGGAAGAGTTGGGAGAGAAACAGGCAACAGCTGTAGTAGTACTGGTACCAAAGGGTAAGGGGCAACATACACTTAGGGACTACCGGGCAATATCGTTGTTATGCACAGATTATAAGCTGTTTGCCAAAATTTTGGGGAATCGGTTTAAATGTGTAGCGGATAGAGTAGTATCAAGAACTCAGTTCGGGTTGCCAGGGAGGTCTATGGTGGAGGGACATGGGTTACTAAGGGATTTCGTGGAAGCAAAAGGGGGAAGGGGGGGGGTTTGGTGGCTTTAGACTGGCAGGGTGCATATGACAGAGTGGAATGGGAAGCATTGAGAGCCATCCTTAGGGGAGAGGGGTTTGGGAAAGAAATAGTGGGATGGAGGGTACAGATTAATGGGAGATTGGGTGGGAAGATTGTAATGGAAAGGGGACTTCAACAGGGGTGCCCTATGTCACAACTTTTATTTGCATGCATTACAGGATCCCTTTTATAGGAAGGATGGGAGAACCGTATGTGCAATAGGGGGGTGAAGGGAGTAGAGTTGGGAGGGTTTGGCCCATCTTAATAGGGTATGTAGATGACACTACTGTTCTGGTTAGGGAGGGGATGTCAATGGATACCTTGGATGGGGTAGTACAATTATTCTCAGATGCAATGGTATGAGAGTGCATTCAGAAAAGGCATATTGGTCTGGGGTTAGGAGCTTGGGCTGGGAGGGTTGAGTGGGGTCATTCAGTCATGGGGAAGGCACACGGTGTGAATTTGTTAAATATTTGTGGTCTTTTCTATGCAGACATCTGGATGTATGCGAGCAGGGAAAACTCGATTAGTTGGTGGATAGGATTTCAGTGGGCGATTGGTGTGCTTTGAGGCCTTATCATTTGACCCTTGTACAGCGGGCCATTGTCATTAATGTCTTATTGTATAGTAAGCTATGGCACGTGTTC